TGCAGCATGACAGAACTAAACATATTGAAGTTGATCGACACTTTGTACGAGAGAGAGTCTCATCACAAGAAGTGTGTCTCCCATACATCACCTCCAACATGCAGCTGRYAGATATCCTCACCAAAGYTGTACCAYRGAAGAAGCTAGAGGCAGATCTATCCAAGTTGGGAATGATAAACATTTATTCCCAACTTGAGGGGGAGTGTAGAGAACATTGATGTGGGCCCTACAGCTACGGTCCCACTGTGTTCGTAGGGTAGAAGGTGTTCTAGTCTTCCTAGGGTTAGTCGTTGGTCATTTAGTTGTTTCAGTTGCTATTTATTTCAGTTTTATTTTGCTCTATTTTGTTATGTAAAGACTAAGGGCAGATCTATCCTTTCCATGTAATGAGCATAACCTATAAATGTTAATTAAAGTGGCGGCGGCAGAATATTAAGCTTCTGCTCCTCCTTTCAACTCTTGTGTTCTACTACTTCTCCTCCCTCTTCCTCCTCTCTTCTCTTTACCTTTCTTCTTATTTTCGAACCTGAAATCCATTAGGGTTCAAGACTGATAACAGTCCTGAACTTCTACTGAAGGGTTTCCACAATTGTTTGATCCTATCATAACTGAAAGTGAAAATGAAGCCTTAGTAGTGTTGCCCTCTAAAGAAGAAGTCAAAAGTGGTGTTATGTCTCTAGGCACCGTGAAAGCTCTTGGACCTGATGGAATACCTACTATGGTGTATCATGTTTTAGGAACTTGATGGACGATGATTTGTAAGAGTTTGTTTATGATTTTCTCAAAACAAAAAATTTCCAAGTAGAGTTAATCATACATTTCTTACTTTGATTCCTAAGTATGATAATCTTCCTAAGGTTAGAAATTTTAGGCCAATAAGTCTGTGCAATGTGTTTCATAAAATTATAGCTAAATTGTGAGAAAATTTAAACCACTTTTGGAAAAATGTGTTTCCCCTGTTCAATGGTTTTTGTTCCGGACAGGTTAATCCATTATAACATTATTATAGCTTAGGAATTGATCCACTTTATGAAAAAAAGAAAAAGAAAATTGGGGAAGGATAATGGCAATAAAACTTGATATTCTAAAGCCTATGATTCCATTGAGTGGGATTATTTAATGTGGGTTTTGAAGTCTTTGGGATTTTTAGAGTAGTGGTGTGAGCTGATATGGGTTTGTATATCCTCTATTAGGATGTCTATGCTAATTAATGGTTATCCAAAAGGTTTTTTGAAACATCTAGAGGCATTAAATAGGGTAATCCTATATCCCCTTATTTAGGTGGTGTTCGTTAGTGTGTTCATCTCGTGGATGGATCATTTCGATCAAGACCACAGGACGAAATCACCATTCGGTTCATTATGGACGGGATCGGTCCACACTATCTTATGGACTAGCTCTGTCCACACTCCAATTTCTCGTCAACGACATTTTTTTGTGGATGGGGTCGGTCCACGGTTTGTTTTTGCTACCATGTTTCACGCACACAATGCACCCCACGATTCCCAACATGGCTCATCTGGCATGGATGACCTCAAACTCATAGTTCTTGGCGAAGGTCTCTAATTCAACAGAGAGCCCGGCACTATCCCAGCCATAGTCACCAGGGAATTCACCGATGAGGTAGGGCGGAGGCTGGCCGGAGAAAGGACCCAAGTACTTGACACAGTCAGGACCATACCATGGGCTACCTATTTTGGATTGCCTGGGCCGAGACAAGGTGCTTCTCATGGTGAACCTGCCTTCGCCGAGATTCTTTGAGGTGAAGCCGGTGAGTTTCAATGCTTTTCCAGCCAAAGAAGGAGAGGAGAGAGTCATTATTTCAGAGGCATCCATGACCATGATAGAAGAGCAAGTGTATGATGACTAAGGAGAGTTGAGAAAAGAGAAGGCGTGTAGTTAATTTATTTTCTTTCAGGCTTGTTGAATGTTGGTGGTATTAATAGCAATAGAGAAGCAAAGGTCCTTATCTTTGGAGATCCATTTCTATCTTGTCGTTGGTTCTTACATTCTACGTATCATGATTTCGCTGGTTCACTCAGGGACACGCGTCGGTGTGGATTGAATTGATAGATGAGTCCTGGCGCTTTCTAGGCCCTGCATCAAGAATCTCCTACATGGCTGTTTGGCTCATTCGTCAACCATTGAGCATTTGTCTATATGTCCTATTTGAGTTAAGAGAGCATTTGCCTAAATTGTTAAATGTCATGCCTATCTTGCAAAAATTTATTGTATTAATTGTTTAAATATTATTTTTAATATTTTTGTTAATAAAATATTAATTATTTTATTTAATTTTTTAAATTTTAAATTTTTTTAATGTTTTTATTAATAAAATATTTTTTTTAAATATTTAATATATTTTTTAATTATTTTACTATTGTTTTAAAAAAAATATTAATTAATTGATACATTTTTTAAAATATTTATCATACAAAATACAAAAATTAGATATTTATGATTAACTGTGTATATCATTCATAAAATGTACATTAGATACATAGAATCAAAAAAGTGTGTTGTGGACTAGTCCACACCACATTATAGAATGCCACTGTGAGTGTGGACTGGTCCAATCCACACATTTTGTCTACAGTTCAGAACAACTGTGGACTGTGGTGTGGATTAGTCCACACCCACCAATTTCTCATCCACATTACAGAACACCCCCTTATTTGTTTTGAGAATGGAAGGGTTATCTCGATTGATTGCAAAGACCAATGATCAAAATAGATGCCAAGGGATTAAAATTCATAGAGATGCTCAAAGTATTTCTCATCTAACGTTAACGGATGATGTTTTGTCGTTTGGCAAGGTTGATAGAGAAGAGACAACTGATTTTATAGAAGTGTTGAAAGAATTTTGGGCTTAGAAATAAATTTTCAAAAATCTAGGCTTTGGTCAAGGTTCAAAGTATCGACCGATACATATCGTATCAGGAGCTTCCCGATACGTCCCTACAGAGGGTGTATCAGGGTTTCGACCGGTTCAGGGGGTGGACAAACCTTAAATCGGTCCCTCTGAACCATATTTGAAAAAAAAACAAAAAAAAATTAAAAAAGAAAAGCTATCTATACTGCCCGATACACTTCTACTGACATATCGGACATATCAATATTTTGAACCTTGGCTTTGGTTTAATAGAAATGTCCCCCCAATTAAAGAGTGCTAAAATGATTAGAAGGCAAATGAAAATACCTTGGGGTTCCCCTACCTTGGAAGAAGCAGAAAGTAACATATTTAAAGTTTGTGTTGGATAGAATGAAAGAAAAATTAGTAAATTGGAAAACGTCGGTGTTGTCCTATGCTAGTAAAAAATCTTTAGTGCAAACAGTCCCTGCGCATTGCATGAGTGTCCTCCAATTTCCAAAAAAAAAAAAAAATCCCTAAATGAAATAGATAAAATCTAAAGGTGTTTTTGGTGGAATGAGGGATCACAAAGAAAAGGGATTAAATGAGAGAAGTTATGTGCTCCAAAAAACTTCGGTGGATTGGGGTTTAGAAAGGCTGCAACAATGAAGATTTTTTTAATATATAAATTAGGTTGGAGATTTTTAACTGATAAAGACTCCTTATGGGTAAAGGTTTTTCAGGGTAGATATCTCCCAAGGCATTTTAGATTTCCCTCAAAAGTTGTGGGATCTGCTTCTCCTATTTGGAAGGGAATTGCCAAGGCACTTATAGATATTTTCAACAAGGTTGTTGTTCAAGTGCATAATAATCAGTAAAACCTTAATGTTTGGAATAACCCTTGAATCTATGTGAATGATAAATATATTTAGAGCTCCCATTGGACCTGCAGAAAGGAGTAGTAGTAAGTTGGTGATTCGATCAATATCTGGTTCAGGAAGATTTAGCAATTTGGAATAGGAATCTGATTATAGAAGTGTTTGGTAGAGAAGAGGGGGAGTCAATTTTGAGTACAACCATTATGAGGAATAGGCTAGAGGATATTTGGATAATGGAAAATTTACAGTAAACCATTTTCCTAAAAAGGAATGACGTATAAATAATGTCTCTCTAGACCAAAACATGTTTAAAACAACAAAAAGAGTTTGGAAACTAAAAATCCCCCCCCCCCCAAGTTTAAACTATTTTTGTCATTTCAAAAATGGATTTGGTTGATAAAGGGATTAATGTGGATAGTGATTGTGTTTTATGTAACCAAGGAAAAGGAGTCACTGAGTCACTTATTTTGTTCTTGAGCTGTCTTGTATGCTAGTCCTTGGACTCTATTGATCCCTGAGGAATGTTCTCATTCTATATCTCAATATTTGATTTTCTTGATGAATTCAGGCTTGATGTTAAGTGAGTTGGCATTTTATTTTGTTTGAAAATCCAGGAATGATGCCATTTTTTCAAATATTAGACGACATGGTAATTGGGTGATGTCTTCGGTGAATGAAGATGATATGGGGCATATATCAAATCAGACTTTAAGCATTATCAATGTGAGTGGAGAATGTGATGGAATTTTAATCCAATGTGATGCTGGCACCTTTATGAAGAAAGATGTTTTATATGGTTCATATGGTTTGTGTATGAGCCATTTAGTATTTATGGTTTCTGTATTTATAATAAGTGAAAATTTCTGATTAGTATCCTGTATTTTGGGTCTAGTGTTACTTTTTTTTCCAAATTTTAAAATGTGACAATTCAGTATCCGAACTTTTAAAATGTGTAAATGCAGTACTTGTCATTAACCAATTGGTTAGCCAGTCGTTAAGTGACATTTGAACAGACACAAATGCCCTTTGAGTGTTATTTAATTTTCTTTATCAACCATCCAAATGTTGATAAGAAATGAACAGTCCCAAATCCTTGCCTCTTATGTTCAAGAAAGTTGGGGCCGCATAAGAGCCAAGGATTTGGGACTGTTCATTTTTTATCAACGTTTGAATGGTTGATAAAAAGAATTAAATGACACTTGAAGAGTATTTATCTCTTGAAATGGCACTTAACAACTGGTTAATGAGCTATTTAATGACAAGTACTAGATTGACACATTTTGAAAATTCGAGCATTAAATTATCGTATTTTAAAATTTAAAGACCAAAATGCCACTAGACCCAAAATACAGTGTACCAATATGGAATTTTTCCCTGTAATAACAATAAAGAATTTTCGGTGGCTACAGATGGTTTGTTGAGAATTGTAGATGGGCCCTTGTGTGCTGAATTGAAGGTGATATAGCTCTAGAGAATGGTTGGAGAAGCTGTCCTGTATTTTCTGACGCTAAAGTGGCGGCAATACAGTTTATACAATCTCAAGGGAAAAAGTTACATTGGAAACATAATGGCCTGATGAACCAAATTTTAGCAGTTTCTGAAGGTGTTGTGAACCTTAAATATATTTATATTTCTACAACCTTCACCAAAGCCGCTCATATATTAGCACAAAAAGCCAAATGTTTTGATGATCATTATTGTTGGTGGGGATCTCCCCCAGAGTGGCTGAACTCTTTTGTATTTACTTTATTTGATTAGTATTTTCTTCTTTAGCTTATCAATAAAAAAAAAAAAATTCCAACAACCAATAGCTCTTGAGTTTTGAAAAAGTATCACAAAAAGTACAAATGAAAGACTATAGGATGGGTTGGGTCAGTATCGAGTTGAACCCTATAGGCCGGGGTAAGTTCAAAAACTGCATAGTACTGAACCGGATTGGGTTAGGTTTGAGTGGAAGCATGGGAAGGTTGGATCAGGGTTGATCAAACCTGTGCCAATCTGCCCAACTCTATAGGGTTCAGCCTGATACCAATCCAATCCATGTCACAATCTTTCAATTGTATTTTTTGTGGCACATTTAATTTGAAAACGCAAGAGCCTTTATTTTAAGTTGGAAATTTGTTTATGGGTAATAGGTTGACAATCAAATTCTCCTATGATCTATTTTAAATATGTATAGACTTTTTGAGAGAAAATGAAGTAAAAAGAGCACTATGACATTCTTAATTAGGTGTGATTATGGACCAGGTTAGACTATAGGCCTATTATAAAGTTTTATTAATGCAAATACTTAAAACAAATTTTAAATTAATAAAAATTAGTTTTAAAACTAATAAATTTTTCATAGCAAATTTAATTTTATAAGATTACTATTTTTATTAATTTTATTTATAAAACTAAATTTATTATAAATTAATTTTATTTATAATATTAGTAATTTCATTGGACTTTCAATTAATAAAAATTATTATAAAACTGTCATTATTGTTATTATTAACAAATTTGAATTAACTTTTATTATTTTAAAAATGACTTAAATGGATTAAAACTATATTTTTATAGTTTTATTAATAATAACAATTAATAATTATGCTACCTAATTAAGCTAATTAAAATTGTTTAACCACATAAATAAGTTACCTAATTAAATAGGTAACTTAAAGCACGGTTAATAATTAATAATTTGCACATACAACTGTTGTATAACATATGGATCCATATTGGCATCAAACTAATGGACCCATATGTAGAATGGGTCTAAATTCAACAAGGGCCTATATCTAGAGGTGCAACTTGGGTGAGCCCAACTTGAGTACAGAGCACTTCAACACATAAATTTACATGGACTGGGCTTGGATCCATTGTCCTTAGGTTGGGCCTGGGCCTAAATTTTTGGGGCTGGGCCCAAGCCTAGTCAATGTGAGCCCAACCCAACCTTATCCCAACTGAACTATATACATATGTGCATGTACATACAGACACATTATTTGTATGCATATATATGCATACATGAAACATATATATTTAGGTTAAATTTTAGTATATGACTATATGTGCTTATTGACTAACCCAAGCGCGGTGGTCCAGGCCTGAACCCAACAAGTGCATCAAATTTTAGTGCGATATGGACTCAGGTTGGACAAATCTAACTTGACCTTAGGCTCAGGCCCTAAGCCCAATTCTAAGGATTAGGCCTAGGTTGAGCTTAACTACTATTATTTTAATTACTTTGAAAGCATTTTACTTAATTAAGTAAATAAATGTGAAATTATTTTAATTACTAGGGGTTTTTATGATTCAGTCCACCCCTAGGTGGAGCTAGGATTTCCTAGGGGTGGACTGAATCCTGCCCGTGGATTGATGCCAAGGTAGGATGTGATTTATAGGGGGGGCTACTAATAGACTAGGAGGGGGCTTTAAAAAAAAATTCTGAGGGGGATTGCAGTCCAAAAATCCCTAATTACTATGATATTTTACTTAAATAATTCAGTAATTTACTTAACAAATTATGGTAAATTTACTAATTTACTATTAAATCATTTTTTCAAACAATTTAATAACTATTAAGTAACATAATTTACATGAACTATGGTAATTTTCAATAATATATCTATCTATATATACTTTACTTAATAATTTAAGTTGAGTTCTGTAATTAGTTAACTATAATTAATTGTCAATTCTTAATTAACTATACTTAATTAAGTATTTAAATGTACTTAATTAATTAATTGTATTTTAAATTTGTAATTATATTATTTATAAATTATATATATTAAGATTGTTAACTTAAGTTTTTTTACTTTACTTTTATTATTTGCCTTATTGTATTATCTATTTTTTCTCTTATTACTATTTTAGGTACTTTTTACTCATCTTATTTCAATATTTAAGTTTTAACTAAAACTGTTTTTAGAAAATGTTTTAGCTTTAAGATTAATATTTTTAATACATAGATGAGAAGATAAATGCATGCATTTTAATATTTAAGTTTTAACTTAAATCGTTTGCAAACAACTTTTAACTTAAACATTCATATTTTAATACATTTAAAATATGTATTTATTCTTTAATTTTTTTATTTTATATTTGAAATTTTAAGGTTAATTCCTTTAATTTTGGCATTTTCATCTATTTATTCTTTATTTTTTTTAAATTTTAATTATTTTTGGGGATGACCTGAATTGATCCATGGGTAAATACTAACTCGAACATTTAGGATTAGGGTCTAGCATTTGGCAACCCAGCCCGAAATTCAACCCAAAATGTCTTGACCCAAATCCGACCCACCGATCCAATTGCCACGTATATTGGGGTCCTTTAATTTACCCTTTAAATTATTTGCACGTGTAAAAAACAAGGTGAGAGTGCATCTCTGATTCTACTTGCGAGAGTTGGATTAGCATTTCTCTCCGGCAATTTTGGTTGGTCAGGCTCAGGTATCGTATTGTCGTATCGCAAGAGAGAGAGAGAGCGAGCGAGCATCTGCGGACTGCGGCGAACCAGAAAGAAAGGAGCCAAGGAGAAATGGCTAAATCGCTGCTGATTCGTCCTTACGTATTCTCTGCATTCCGAACACCACTCCTCCGCCGCTCCTTTAATTGTTTTCAAGCGAGACCATTTGTTTCTCCAAGCGTGCTCGAGAAAACCCATGTCTCATCTACTAGCAATACTCAAATTCGTGGCGTTCCATTTCATTGGACTAAATTCGGAAGTGTTTCTCATCGGAGATTCAGCGTTGGAGCAACCCAGGTCAACGATTCAGGCGCAATCGACTCTCCTTTGATGAAATCAATGGAGAAGAAGGTCTATTTTTTAACTTAAACCACTTGCAATTTTGCATATTATCATTTTGATGGCTTTTGATGCATCATGAAGAAAAATTTAGTCAGCCCACTATTTTTTGTTTCTATTCCTCTATGCTTTAGACGAATTGTGTTGATCCATTTAAGTGGGATAATTGGTATTGTATGTGGTTTTTAATAAGAGAATGTTGAAGTTGGCTCTTTTGCTTGAATAACATATATTGTTAGGAAAAGATTTCTACAACAGGTTCAGCAGAGCATCAACAGAAATAGATGTACAAGCCGTACTTCTGAAGTAAATAACCCGAAAATGAGGAAGAAAAACTTATTTCTTTTCCTTTATAATGCCTGCATCAAGTACACCTCTCCAGTTCAACCTCCTTGCTTTAATTCTATGAGCCACATCTGCTACAATTACCCCCTCCTTATGAATGATTGATCCAAGGTAATTGAATCAGTTTGGGTTATCTCCCGACTATCAATGCTAATTGCATCCCCTTTGCAAATACTATTTCTACTAAATTTGCAACACATATATGTAGTTTGGTTTGGCTTGGCTTAAACTTTTGTTGTTCAATAGTACCTATTCATCACTTTGGCTTTGCATTTTTCCCCTATTTAGTCTTATAAACTATGAGACCTCTTTTAAATGCCTAGTGTGATTGGAAACTCTTTTGTCTCCCCATCAAGTATTCTCACATTACTTACTGCACTTTTATAAATATCCCTAGTGATATTACTATACCTAGTTCAAGCTCCTTTCTTTCTCAAAACCTTCTAATGATATCACTCTATAATATGCTTTTTTTAATCGGTAAATATCAGATGGAGATCTCTCCTCTGATTTCTGAACTTGTATATTAATTTAAGTACAAAGTTCCATAGTTGATTTCCATGGTAAAATAGGAACAACATGACAATTGAGAAAGAAAGTAGAAACAATACGAGAATTTTGGCTCTTTTAATATCTTTTTATGGAGTGGTTGGCTGTTCATTCTGAATTTGAAGATGTCAAGCAAGACTTGTTTGCACTGATATGTTGTCCACTTTGGACATTGTGATGGATAATGTATAGAAGTTTTTGTGTGTTTCTTTACCTATTGGAGTTTGTATTGGATTTTGTCTTTTTTCGAGGTCTTTTCAGAAATCTCTATAATTTTTATTTTCATTAATGAAAATTTCCTTTATTTTGCCATAAAAATTGATTTCCATAGATATTCCAACAGCCCAAAATACAAAAGATTCACACTAAAGCCTAAAATAGCTGATGTCTATAAACCCCTTGTTTTGCTAATGAATCCACTATCCTATTAGCAGTTCTTCAAACCCAATTGTAGGAAGTGCTTAACTCAATGTTTTAAGACTTGGACTGGAGTAAAAAACGAAATGCTCTCCATGTCCCAGTTTTACTGGTTAACCAGGCAATTTGCCCATCCAACCCACCAAAACCATAATTTAACTAGGACCCGGAAAGACCATCTGTTCCCGATTTTCATGGTTAGACTGTCAGTCTGGCTTGAGTCTTAGGACATTGGTTTAACTCACTTGAGAGACATTCTATTTCCCTGAAAACATTTTTGTATATCCAAGGGACTTGGCAAATGCCTTTTGCCCAAGTGATGATCGTTTTGAGTCCCCCTATACTTCCAAGAAGTGGAAGTCAGATTGATTTGCTAATCTTAGGCCTTGTAATATGGCCATCAATTCATCTTTCAGAGGGTACCTCTTTTAGGCTGGAAAATAAATAGAACTTGAGCTTTTAGAAAGACTTAGTATGTTGAGAGTTTGTTGGAGGAGAATCTTATTTGGATTTCCAAATTTCATAGAAATTTCCAAGATTTGGGGTTGGGTAATGTTGTTAGTGTCTTGGAGCTGCTTACTAGTCATAGGGAGCTCTGTGTTAAATCCTCTGCAGATAACTCGAAGACAAATGTTCCTTCTAAGGTTGGTTCTTGGTGTGGGCTATGACCCTTGGTAGGTTCTCACTAAGGAGCAGTTGGTGAGAAGGGACACACAAATCCATGATCTGTCTTGTTGTATGTGTGGGTAGGGGGAGGAACCTGTTGGTCATCTCTGTATCCAATGTCATGTTGCCTCTAGCATTTGGACTCACTTTCTTTAGGCAACAGGTCTATGTTGGATAATGCCAGGTTTCTGTTTGTGAGCTGCTATCAGCTTGGTCCATTCTTGGATTGAGTAAAAGAGGGAAATGTGTGTGGAAGGCAACCCCTGTGGCTGTAACAGGGATGATAGCAAGCAAATGTGTAGGTGCAAGAATTAAGAGTGGTAAGGAGGGTCTTATTTGCAAAATTGCTATTGGAAAGTGTTATGATCATGTGGAACAGGGCTTCCTGGAGGTGGTGTTGGAGAGGATGGGTTTTGGGGAAAAGTGGAGGAGTTGCCGAGTTGGATGTTGCTTGTATCTCTACAATGTTTTTTTCAGTTCTAGTCAATGCCATATCGAAAGATTCTTCCAGGCTTCAAGGGGGTTGAGACAAGGGATCCTCTCTCTCTCTCTTCTTTGTTGTTTATGATTGTTGTAGAATGTAGAGGTTTTACATAGATTAGTGATCAAAGGGGTGGATTCGGGTATGATTGAAGGTTTTAAGGTGGGCAGGGAAGGATTTCCAATTTCTCATCTTAAATTCGCAGGTGATACCTTTCTTGGAAGCATTAGTGGATCAGGTTTTCAAATTGAGGGCCATCCTCTAGTGTTTTGAGGTGTTCACTGGTCAGAAAATTAATTTAAATAAGAATGTAATGATTGGAGCTTATATTGGACAAAATTGATTGAAGATTAGCAGGGTGGAAAGGTAAATATCTATCACTGGGGGGGGGGGAATCGCAGTAATAAGGAGTGTGTTATCTAACCTTCCAGTGTATTATTTCTCAGTGCTCAAGATTAGTAACAGAGGCAATATAGAAGATGCAAAGAGACTTCTCATGGAAACATCAAAGGATTTGAGAAAAAATATCATCTCGTGAAGTGGGATTGGGCTTGTAGGGATAAGAAGGATGGTGGTCTTGGGATCAGGAGAACAAGGTTTAGGAATGTGGTGGCTTGTAAGTATGTTGGGTGGGATTTAAAGGAGGTGAAATCATCCTATGGGGTTTGTGTTTGGAAAGGAATTATGAGTTTCCAATCAGATTTTTTGAACTTTATTTCTTTCAAGGTGGGAGATGGCTCAAACATAAAATTTTGGGAGGATGATTGGTTGGGTGTTGGCAGGTTATGTTAGCTCTGTCTAAGACTCTTATCACTTGAGTAGGAGGAATTTGTTTATTGTTGATTGCTATGAGCTCATTCAAGGAAGAATAACTTGGAGGCGAAGTTTAGGAGACCCCTCCTTGATTGAGAGGTTGAGGAATCTGTGGAGCTGCTAGTGAAATTATAGTTGGTGGAGATCCAAGCAGAGAGGAATGACATGGGATGGTGGAAAGAAAGCAAAAATGGATTTTTTTTTTCTTAATGTCCTTTTTTAAAGCCTTGGCAAGAAATCAAGTGGAAATAATGGATGTTAAAGGGGTTTGGGGGAACCCTATGTTAAAGGGGTTTGAGGCCAATAGTGGAGGCTTTTGCTTGGTTAGTTGCTTTGGATAGCACCTTCACACAGGATCTATCAAAAGAAGGGGAACTCAGATTGTGGGAATGTGTTTTCTTTGCTTGTCTGAGGAGGAGAATGTTAGGCATCTATTTTTTGGCTTTGGTTTTTTGAAAATTTTCTGGGGATATATTTATCAAAAAAAATTTTTCTGGGGATATTACTTCAGTCTCTTTAAACTGGACCTATGGAATCCAAGAAACCCAAAAGAACTTTTTGGTTGCTGGCCCACGTTGAGAGGGAACAGGAAAGCTAAAATTGTTTGGAGCTGTATTACTTTTGCTATCTGTTGGGAAATTTGGAAGGAAAGAAATAGAAGAATATATGAAGGCAAACCAAAGTGTAGGGAGCACATCAATTTTCTAAGTGGGAATGCTTGCTGGAGATGGATCACACGGGCGGAGAGGGTAGGGAAAAACGGATCGGACAGAAGACCCAGAATTTCAATCACAAAAGGAGGTCCAGGGACCCGTTTGGTATTAGGGGCTTGGACTGTGGGCTAGGGGATAAGAGAGGGGAGGACCGACAAAAAACTGGGACCCAGTTTTCTCTAGTTGCTGGGCCGGTTGGGGGAGATAGTTAGGGGAGTCATGAACCCAGCTTTGAGTATGGAGGCCAGAATCAAAAGTTTCCAAATGTGTACAGAAGGGACCCAGGGGCGATCAAGATCTTTGAGGGAAGGAGGGGACATGCGAAGAATCAAGGAGCCCTTGCAGGGGAGGCAGTGGAAAAAGGGAAAGCAGTGATGGTGGAGGCAGAAGCTGTGTCATCTGACGAAGATGTGGACGGAACGATTGCTGATGACGCTCTTGAATTTAGAGGGAACCCCAGTAAAATTCAGAACGATATGGAGAATAGTGAGGGCCTTCATGGGGAAGAAATGTCTCCGTTGCAGGTTGTGGAACCGTCATCGGAAGAGAGGATGGGAAAAGGAGAGGGGAGTGAGTTTCCGCTTAGTATGGCCGTGGTGGAAACACAAGCTCGTTGGAGTGAGGGTGATGGAGAGGCAACATTGCTGGAGGGTGGGGAAATCTCGGAGGGAGCGCTTCTGTCGAGTTGGGTGTTATCCAAATACTTGAGTTTTCGGGAGTTTCTTGGGGTCTCAATGGAGGGTCTCGAGAAACAGACGAAGGACTTCCTAATGGAAATTGAACACAGGATTTTATGGGACAGAGGTGTAATGATTGCCAAAGGTAAAAAGAATGCGAAAAAGAAAAAAGGGAGTTGTTATGTCTCACTTGGGGCCTGAATGATAGGGCGGGTGTACAGAGGACGGTGGTAGAGGGAGGTAGGAAGTAGGAGAAAGGGGGGGGGGGAATAGGAATGTATTTGAGTAATGATGAAAATTTTGTCGTGGAACGTTCGTGGCTTGGGTTCGGGGAGGAGAAGGGTTGTCATCTGCTCCATAATAAAGGCACACAAACCAGATATCATTTTACTTCAAGAGACAAAACTGAGTAGAATGGACGCATCAGTGGTTAGAAGCATGTGGGGGGATGGACAATGCAAGTGGAGATGTTTAAATGCTTCAGGAACAGCAGGGGGAATTCTAGTAGTATGGAATTCCAATACTGTCACGATCAGTGACTCCATGGTTGGAAATTACTCGGTCTCCATTGAAGTTGTAGGGACGGGAGGTTTCAAGGGGATAGTTACTGGGGTGTATGGCTCAAATGATGATGCTGAAAGGCAGAACTTCTGGGAGGAGCTGGGCAGAATAAGGAGTAGGGGTAATATTCCCTGGTGTATAGGCGGAGATTTTAACATTATAAGATTCCCACAGGAGAAAAATAGAGGTGTGAGAAGGACTACGGGGATGCGGTCTTTTGGTGAGTTTGTTTATAGACATGGTCTGGTGAACTTGCCGTTGTCTGGTGCTAAGTTCACTTAGACTAATAACCAAGGCAATCCTACTTTAGTTCAGCTTGACAGATTCTTGGTGTGAACAGAGTGGGAGGAAAGTTTCCCTAACTTGTTTCAGGAAGCCCTACCAAGACCTGTGTCTGATCATAGGCCTATTCTTCTTAGGGGGGAGGGCCTGAGGAGGAAGCCAGGTCCTTTTCGGTTTGAACACTTGTGGTTTCAGGAGGCTGGGTTTGAAGAGAAGTTGAAGGAGTGGTGGTTATCTTTTGAGGTAGAAGGCTCAGGATCTCATATTCTTGCAAAGAAGTTACAGATGTTGAAATAGAAAATCCTACTGGAAGAAAAACAATTATAAGGCAGTAGAACTAAAAAAAGGAGAGTTGTTAAGCACCATTGAAGAGCTGGATAGGAAAGAAGAGCTGGTGAACCTATCTGAAGAAGAGAAGGCAGCTAGGACAGAGGCAAAATTGTGTTTTGACAAAGTAGCATATCAGGAAGAGATTAAATGGAGACAACGGGCTAAAATCTCTTGGCTGAAGGCAGGAGACAGAAATACAAAGTTTTTCCATGCAGTGGCTAATTGTCGAAGAAGGGAGAATACTTTGAAGAAGCTGCAGGTGGGAGACAGGATTATTGAGGATGAATCTTCTATTAAAAGGGAGGTGGTGAAATTCTTCAAGAACCTGTATAAGGAGGTGTGGCCGGTACGTCCAGGTCTGAATGGGAGCCTGTTTGAAGCCCTCTCCAACAATCAAAGAGAAGACTTAGAGAAACCTTTCTCAGAAGAGGAAGTTTGGGGGGGTTATTAAAAGTCTAGAGGGAGAGAAGACCCCTGGACACATTGGGTTCACAATGCTGTTCTTCAAGAAATGTTGGAGTTTCATAAAGCCAGAGGTGATGAAGGCTATGTCGGATTTCCATGAAAGAGCATCCTTAGAGCGTAGCTTAAATGCTACATTTATAACTTTGATTCCAAAGGTTCAGAATCCGATGCGTATCTCTGATTACAGACCCATAAGTTTGGTAGGAGGTTTCTACAAAATTCTGGCGAAAACCCTTGCTAATAGAATGAGGAAGGTACTTCCTGAGATCATTTCAGAGGTGCAGGGGGCTTTCTTGCCCAGTTGACTATTACTAGAGGGTGTTCTTATTGCTAATGAGCTGGTAGATTCGAAGTTAAGGAGTGGCAGCAATGGGGTGGTATGCAAAATTGACTTAGAGAAGGCTTACAATCATGTAAACTGGAGGTTTCTCGACTTGGTGTTGCAGAAAATGAACTTTGGCCAGAAATGGAGGAATTGGGTCAGAGTGTGCATACCCACTTTTAAGTTTTCTGTACTTGTGAATGGGTCATCTTCTGGTTTCTTTAGAAGTTCGAGGGGTCTTCGACAGGGAGACCCCCTCTCTCCCTTGCTGTTTRTCTRWGTGGTGGRGGCTTTAGCTAKATTAGCTAAAAGAGCTGCGGCTGAAGGCTGTGTGGAAGGTTTTAGAGTGGCAGAGGAAGGAACCATGGTCCCTTTACTACAGTATGCAGATGATACTTTATTCTTTGTTCAGGCAGAAAAGGAGCAGTTAAGTAATCTTCGGAT